GGTAAATGTTTGTCCGAACATTATTAGGACGCTGAGAACAAATTCGTTAGCTAGACTTTAGGCTAAAATTAACCTAAATATATATGTTTAGAATTGAATGATTTTTTAATATGTTGTACATCCAAGTGTATACTTTAATTTAAAATGATAAAATTTTGGGGAATACCGTCACAACATAGGTAAATGTTCGTCCGAACATTATTAGTACGCTGAGAACAAGTTCGTTAGCTAGACTTTAGGCTAAAATTAACCTAAATATATATGTTTAGAATTGAATGATTTTTTAATATGTTGTCCATCCAAGTGTATACTTTAATTTAAAATGATAAAATTTTGGGGAATATCGTCACAACATAGGTAAATGTTTGTCCGAACATTATTAGGACGCTGAGAACAAATGCGTTAGCTAGACTTTAGGCTAAAATTAACCTAAATATATATGTTTAGAATTGAATGATTTTTTAATATGTTGTACATCCAAGTGTATACTTTAATTTAAAATGATAAAATTTTGGGGAATATTGTCACAACATAGGTAAATGTTTGTCCGAACATTATTAGGACGCTGAGCGCTAATTCGTTAGCTGGACTTTAAGCTAAAATTAACCTAAATATATATGTTTAGAATTGAATGATTTTTTAATATGTGCTACATTTAAGTGTATACTTTAATTTAAAATGATAAATTTTTGGGGAATATCGTCTTAACATAGGTAAATGTTCGTCCGAACATTCTTAGTACGCTGAGCGCTAATTCGTTAGCTGGACTTTAAGCTAAAATTAACCTAAATATATATGTTTAGATTTTAATGATTTTTTAATATGTGCTACATTTAAGTGTATACTTTAATTTAAAATGATAAAATTTTGGGGAATATCGTCACAACATAGGTAAATGTTTGTCCGAACATTATTAGGACGCTGAGAACAAATTCGTTAGCTAGACTTTAGGCTAAAATTAACCTAAATATATATGTTTAGAATTGAATGATTTTTTAATATGTTGTACATCCAAGTGTATACTTTAATTTAAAATGATAAAATTTTGGGGAATACCGTCACAACATAGGTAAATGTTCGTCCGAACATTATTAGTACGCTGAGAACAAGTTCGTTAGCTAGACTTTAGGCTAAAATTAACCTAAATATATATGTTTAGAATTGAATGATTTTTTAATATGTTGTCCATCCAAGTGTATACTTTAATTTAAAATGATAAAATTTTGGGGAATATCGTCACAACATAGGTAAATGTTTGTCCGAACATTATTAGGACGCTGAGAACAAATTCGTTAGCTAGATTTTAGGCTAAAATTAACCTAAATATATATGTTTAGAATTGAATGATTTTTTAATATGTTGTACATCCAAGTGTATTCTTTAATTTAAAATGATAAAATGTTGGGGAATATCGTCTTAACATAGGTAAATGTTCGCCCGAACATTCTTAGTACGCTGAGCGCTAATTCGTTAGCTGGACTTTAAGCTAAAATTAACCTAAATATATATGTTTAGAATTGAATGATTTTTAATATGTGCTACATTTAAGTGTATACTTTAATTTAAAATGATAAATTTTTGGGGAATATCGTCTTAACATAGGTAAATGTTCGTCCGAACATTCTTAGTACGCTGAGCGCTAATTCGTTAGCTGGACTTTAAGCTAAAATTAACCTAAATATATATGTTTAGATTTTAATGATTTTTTAATATGTGCTACATTTAAGTGTATACTTTAATTTAAAATGATAAAATTTTGGGGAATATCGTCACAACATAGGTAAATGTTTGTCCGAACATTATTAGGACGCTGAGAACAAATTCGTTAGCTAGACTTTAGGCTAAAATTAACCTAAATATATATGTTTAGAATTGAATGATTTTTTAATATGTTGTATATCTGAGTGTATACTTTAATTTAAAATGATAAAATTTTGGGGAATATCGTCACAACATAGGTAAATGTTTGTCCGAACATTATTAGGACGCTGAGAACAAATTCGTTAGCTAGACTTTAGGCTAAAATTAACCTAAATATATATGTTTAGAATTGAATGATTTTTTAATATGTTGTACATCCAAGTGTATACTTTAATTTAAAATGATAAAATTTTGGGGAATACCGTCACAACATAGGTAAATGTTCGTCCGAACATTATTAGTACGCTGAGAACAAGTTCGTTAGCTAGACTTTAGGCTAAAATTAACCTAAATATATATGTTTAGAATTGAATGATTTTTTAATATGTTGTCCATCCAAGTGTATACTTTAATTTAAAATGATAAAATTTTGGGGAATATCGTCACAACATAGGTAAATGTTTGTCCGAACATTATTAGGACGCTGAGAACAAATGCGTTAGCTAGACTTTAGGCTAAAATTAACCTAAATATATATGTTTAGAATTGAATGATTTTTTAATATGTTGTACATCCAAGTGTATACTTTAATTTAAAATGATAAAATGTTGGGGAATATCGTCTTAACATAGGTAAATGTTCGTCCGAACATTCTTAGTACGCTGAGCGCTAATTCGTTAGCTGGACTTTAAGCTAAAATTAACCTAAATATATATGTTTAGAATTGAATGATTTTTTAATATGTGCTACATTTAAGTGTATACTTTAATTTAAAATGATAAAATTTTGGGGAATATCGTCTTAACATAGGTAAATGTTCGTCCGAACATTCTTAGTACGCTGAGCGCTAATTCGTTAGCTGGACTTTAAGCTAAAATTAACCTAAATATATATGTTTAGATTTTAATGATTTTTTAATATGTTGTACACTCAAGTGTATACTTCAAATTAAAATGATAAAATTTTGGGGAATACCGTCACAACATAGGTAAATGTTTGTCCGAACATTCTTAGTACGCCGAGCGCTGGATTTCAGACTCAAATTTACTTAAGATTTTATGTATATATTATTTTATATGTTATGAATTTAAGTATTTCCCCCCATTTCATTTGTGAAAATGTGCCGGAAAACGTTACAACATGTGTTATATCGTTTAAATTAAGGTTTTAACATTTTTAACACAGTTGAGGTCTATTACTGTTGTATTAGATTGTACACAGGTAGGGTAGTGGGGGTGTGGAATTCTCCGCCCGCCGTTAGCTGGCGATAGCTGTCTTCACGATCGTCAAATACTACGATACGACTCATGAGTTGAGGAACTGAACGATGAATTAGAACAACTCCTTTTCAAGAGTAGCTCCGAAGAACGGGTGCTTGTCGATATACTGGGACTATTTCAGTGTCGACATAGTGAAACTATTTCATTGTCGACAATATGGGATGTCGACAATTTGTGGTGTCGATCATTTGCGACGTCGGTTATTTGGGATGTCGGTTAAGTGGGAATATTCCAGTGTCGACAAACTGGGAATAATTCAGTTTCGATCAATTTCTACGGTTGTCGATATTATGGAACCCACCCAGCTGATTCGACCAAACAAGTTAGTTCCATAGTTGGTTCTATGATATGTAATAGCATTAAAAATTTATAAAGTTTACCAACCGGGTGCAGCACTATTATATGTTTTGCTAGTTTGCAATTACAGCTAGTTTGAAGTAAGCAACATCAAAAAGCTGTGATACACAATAAGAACTGTCAAAGTAGGATTGTTTACAGTAATGTTTATGTTTTTAATTTAGTACATAATTTGTGATATTGTGTGAATGTTTGATAATTTACTTTTTTATATTGTTTAGGTGCAGTGGTAGAACAGAATGGCTATGGTAGATGTGTAATATGATAAGTACTTTATATACTATACTATATAGCATAACGTAAATATAAAGAACCAAATTCTCTCAAGCCTTATTCTCCCCCATTGCAAACGCAAAGCTGAAAGCTAACAGCATAGCCTAAGCATTTTATACTTATACGCCAAGTCGCCAATCCCATACGAAGAACGGGTTCTCTGTTTACCGTAAGGTATAAGATATAAAGATCAATTTATTTCCGTTAGAACTTTAAGTACAAAGTCATTGCAAAACGTCTAATTCTAGTACATAGTAATGACACTGTTGGCAAAACTAATCCTGAAATAAAAAAACAGCAACCAGCCTCAGGCAATGTCTGTTTCATAATAAACTACAGTACACAAATTAATATTATTAGTAAATCAGCTGATTGCCCAATGCAAATCTAATGGAAATTACAATTATTACAAATTACAAGTTACAGCTTGTTATAACCACTGAGCTATAACTATTTAACTCAATGGTTGTAACTTGTAGCATAGATAAAACCATAGATAAAACATACTCCCTTAGTAGATTTCTCATCCTTATGGAACAGCTGAAGACAATTTTATTGTTAGTTCATGTACGGTTTATGTAGAGGTCGTGTTTTGTTTACAATTTGTTTCCCGTTATTACAGCCATTTAAAAACTCGTTTAACCAAATAATACGATCTAATCATAAACAATAACTTGTCCCCTAGTTATATAACCAAACAGTAAAGCACAAATCAAGAAATTAACCCTAAAATAATGGAATAATCATAAACAATAACTTGTCCCCTAGTTATATAACCAAACAGTAAATCACAAATCAAGAAATTAACCCTAAAATAATGGAAACAAAATTTCGTCGAAACTAGCGCCTTTGTGTCACGTACATGAACTAGACACGAAAAACGTGCTTCAAAATTTACAATGGGATGAGAAGTCTACTTGTGTTGGTTAGTCTATGATAAAACATACTCCCTTATACTTGTGTTGGTTAGTCTGTGATAAAACATACTCGTTTATTATGAAACGGGCCCCAGGTAGATTATTGGTTTATGGTTTATTTTATTTTAGTTAACGTCAGCGTCAGCGTCAGCTCTTCTTCTTCAGCTGTCATTGCTGTCAACTACTGTATTGTTAAATTGTTTGTTTACTTTCTTATTCATTGCCGTTGCCACGAAAAGATCAATTTTTTTAAGCTTGTGTGTGAGTGTGGCTTAACCGAACCGAACTTGGCGAACTCATCTCTCGTAGGATTAGGATATTTCCGTAATTTCTGAAGAATTATGCAGGTGTCTGTATTGTAAGGTCGTATTATTGTATTGTCGTTTATTGTTTATAGAAAATGCAATATCAACAGTTATAGAAATTGTTAAAGGTACATGATTATTCTCAAAAAACTCCTCAGTTAGATAAGCAATTTTTTTAGGTCTAGTGATGAATATTTTCAGAATTGAATTATTCTTACTATTTTTTATAATATACCATGAACGTAATAATTGCAATGCCCAAATTCTTGAAGGCCTCAAAGATGCTGTTCTTAACGCTGAAGGGGTTTTGGGAGATGTATTTAAATCATTAGATTCAGTTGCTAAACATTTGAAATTTACCAAAGAGGCCTGGGAGGATTCAGTAGAAGAAGAATGCAAATTTGCATGTCCTGATGGTAAGTTTTTAGTTTCAAGTCCTAAACTTCATCCCTTCGCCAATATTTTAAATGCCATTTCTTTAACTCAACTCAATCGCCAAAGCAAAGCCAGGCCTATACCTTTTTTGGATAGCCTGTTTATGAACTGAATTGTAATGTGCGATTGCAAGATGTGTAAAAAATCTAAATTTTCCTTCTCGAGATGTTCCGCTTTTTGATTGCTTAGCTAGAGGTTTGTACAATTGAGATTTTTCTCTCAATTGTTTAATTTGTTAAGCGAAAACTTCTGTTTGCAGCTGTCTACATTTCATGAGCTGTCACGAGGAAGTTAGGCTAATTTTTTTTTCTAGATTTCTTATAGAATACCGGTACCGGTAGTACAGTATTATGTACAACATATACTGCTGAAATTTGAAACCACACTGGTACTTTCCTGTTATAGGGAACATTCATTAATACCGATAATTTCTTTTCGAATAATATAGATATTTTTTTATTCGATATATTTTATATTAACAAATTTAAACTTATCAGCTGTCAACTATGATAAATTAATTCAATTCAATTCAAATTTCTTTTTTAATTATTTTGTACAATAGCCTATATATACATCGAATAGTGTCAGGTTGTACAACAACTCAAAGTAGCCTAAGTGACAATCTCATCCATTCTATGCAGGAGACTGAAAAAGTGTTTATGTAGGCCTACCTATTCATTATGACTGTGATGGGTGGAAAAAATCTTCAAAAGAATACGGAGCTATTTTAATCAGATATTCTTTTAATCTTTTTTTAAATTTGTTTTTATTACTTTCTTTTTTAATTTCTTTTGGAATTGTATTTAAATATCTTTGACCGATGTAGGAAGGTTTCTTTTCAAAACATTTTGTTTGATGTTTATATGTTATTTTGGAGTCTTTATGTCGAGTAGGCCTATTGTATTTATGAAGGGTTGAAATATAATCTGAAGGACGAGAATCAGCTTTCTTAATTGCCATTAAAATGCAGTCAAAAATATACTGTCCGTAGACTGTCAAAATATTGAGTTCAACGAAGTGTTTTTTCACAGAGGCATCACGCTGTAGTTTTAGCATTATTCTAATTGCATACTTATTCTTGTTTTTTTAATATATTTTCAAGATTAATTTTTGAAGTTGCTCCAAATAAACAAATCCCAAAAGCAATATGGGAATGTATGTACATGCAAAATAGATTTTACGCATTGTTTCAATATTACAATAAAAAGACATTTTCTATTGTATCTACAATAAAAAGACAATTAAATATTGTTCAGTATCAAGAAACAATAAAAACATATTATATTTGAAATGAAACTGTTCTAAACTAACCTAACTAATGTAACCAAACATGTAACCAATATTTCAAAATTCTGTTTGAAAGCATATTCCCTATATGCCTATTCTGTTATCAAATGGAATTTTGAAAATGTAACTTAGCTACAGCAAGTTTGGTTAGTTATGTTAGGTTAGTTTAGAATAGTTCCATTTCTTAATCCATGATATATATATATATATATATATATATATATATAGGCTATTATTTTTGCCTAAACAAGATTAGTTCCTAATCCTATTCTCACGAGCTATAACCATAGAACTATAAACATGGAACGCTGACTCAATGCAGCGAAAACGAGCCGGCCGCGGACGGGCTCTCCCCACCCCAAGTCAGTGTATGTAGCGGCACTGTCCCATGTATGTACAATGGGCGCGTTACGTATTCCTACATATTCCGTCAGGGGTGTACCGCAGGGGGCTCACGCTTGCGTGGGTTCGTGGCCTGGGCGACCACGCGGACCCTAGCTCTCCCAGAGGGGAGGTAATTGCCCGGTGTTGGAACCGGCACTTCAGGTAGACCACAAGTTATGGACGACTGGACAAGCCAGCCTCTTTGGGTTTACCCAAAGTGAGAGTACCCAGTGACATTCCCTCCATTCAGGGTGGTGGGGGTGTTCAGCTCTGCTAGTGTTGATTAAGTTCATAGATCTTTCACCTGCCTGTAGCTTGTGGTTGTGACTGAGTCCTACCTGTCGTGTACGACTGACATTTTGTGAGGCATATCCTCGACTTTGGAAGTAGCCTCGTCCTGGGAGGTGAAATACCTAGCCCCCAGAGGGGAGGTAAATGCTCCGTGTTGGTATCGGCATTTTCAAGTTGGCCACAGACATGGTCGACTGGGCATCGGGTCCCAGTGACATTCCTTTATCCAGGATGGAGGGGTGTTTAGCTCTAGGAGAGATGGAAGTACATCATAATCTCTAACCTACCTGTGTCTGTGGTTCTTTGGGCTTCGGCCTGCTTGTTGTGTGCGACCAGCATTCAGTGGGCAAATCCTCGACTTTGGAAGTAACCTTTCCTGGAGGTGAAAACGGGCAAGTACCCGCAGCTCACGGGGACACTCAAGGGCAACGTAACTTTCCGCAGTGTGAGGGCAACGGTTTGTAGGTACTTATGCAAACTTATCCCTGTCTCTGAGCACGGACGGTATGGTTATCTTGAGTGTGGGGGGTTCTTCCCGGAACCTCAATTGAGTCAAGGGTGTCGCCACCTCTGGTGGATAGGTTCATCCGGGTGGGTCCCACTTCTATACCTGCCTCCTTTTGGGAAACCCTGATGGCCTGGCAGTGATGTTGGGTCTGACGGGCAAACGAAGTAGATCGGGTGCTGGGTCCGAGCCCGCCAGGGGTATCTGGGGATCTATCGCTCTGGTTATCTCTGGTTTCCCAGCAATGGGTAAGGCCTCGATCGGGCAGCGGTGTAAATGGGAGGTTGGGGTTCCCCCCGTCAGCGTGCTGATGGTCCCCTTCCTCCTGGCTATTGATGGCGGGTTCTGCCTGTCAGGGATTAGATAGGTCCCGAGTGTCGCTTGCACTAAATGCGTCGGGGCGCTCTACTATGGACCTCTAGGTTTCGACCTAGTGGAACCCAGGTGGAGTGACGCTTAAACAAGCAGCCGGAATCCCTGGTTAGGATTGAGGGGCAACCCTCTTTCCGAAGGGTCTGCTTCGGCAGCCGGCGAGCCTGATGACCTTAAGTCATCCGCCCATGATGTGCTAAAGGTTGATGCGTAAGCTTCGGCCTACATCATGGGGCCCGGGTATGTCCAAAAGGATAGGTACCGGGTAAGCAGTCAGGGGGCTTCGGCTCTCATGGCAACAAATATAATAAAAAAAAAAAAAAAAAAAAAAAAAAATATTCCGTCAGGTTTTCAGGCTTTATCATCATTATTAAGAACTAGATTGTGGTGATTTATTGTTGTGTGATGATTCCTTTATCACACTATTGAAAATACACTTAGTTTTTACGAGTAGATTTTATTGTTAGTTGTGCATTGAATGCCACACAGAACATTTCGCTTCATTATTCACTCAAACTTACTCACACCACTCGTATATTTCGGGATAAAATACGCACCTAGGTGGAATCCTCATCTCAATAATTGATATTGATAATAATGATAACGGATTTACTTGGTTCTTAAACATTAACTGCGTAAATGCCAATCTAATTTACTATGTTTCAGTTTTTATTACACCCGTGCCTAAATAGCTCCAACTGGTCTTATGCAATTTTGTGTGCTATGATGAAATAATAATTTAAGTTACTAAATTAGCCTTTTACTTAACAATTTGGTAGGTTAAAGCGTGTTAAAAACAGGTGCGAAGGTTTTTTAGTATATTATAAAACATTGATCCCTTTAATTACCCGTTTCCTTACAGTACCTACTTATAAGACTCAACCAACTTCCCTAATCTTAGCATACCGACTCTTACATATTTGTTCATCATTCAAGTATTTCTTGTTAAAAAGAACATTGAAATGTTTAATACAAACTCATCCGTGCATTTTTATACAGTAACTCCAAACAAAGGGAACACATAGCAAGGCCTAGTATTACACAAATATTTCAATAGCCATTGTTACCGTTAAATTTTATATCATAAAATAATTTGTATATTTATATAAAAAATTTACTATTTAAGAAGTTTTTCCCACTTTGTGAATATTCTTGATAATGAGACTTTTTATTCTACTGAGGACGTCTAGTGTTAAATGACTCAACAGCATTTTGAATTTTTAAATCATGAACTTTAAAGTGATCAATGGGATTTGCTTTTTCTAAAAAAATATGATCGATCCAAATTTTTTCAAAACCCCGCATATAGTCTCATTGGCACTTTTTTGAGCTGTCATTTTTAAGAGTCTTCATCAAATTAAATAATATGTATATAATTCGAATAAATTATATTGTTTCCTCAAAATTCAAAATCAGAGTTTGTGCTAATTAACTGAACCTCTAACGCATCAGTAACACTGTTACTTAAGATATGTCCTGTTAATCTAACCTTAATTTCCTTGTTTTTAAAAAATGCGTGTGAGTTTTGGAAAGCTCATTAAACATTCTTTTGTTTGCTGAACATTTTTTTTTACATATCAAGATAATTTTTGCCTTTGTATGTCCACGCAGTATACAGGCATGTCATCATATTAAACAGTTTTCAATTAAGTGATTAATTAAACAATAAGGCTAGTGAACTAGTGATGCGAAACATAGGCTAGGAGCATGTGTCGCATAGTACACTATGCACCACAACACTGACTTGGGGTGGGGTGAGCCGAATAGGGACGGCTCGTTTCTAAGCGCCTAGCGCAGCTTGAGTCGGCATTCCACTTGTTGTAGTTCTATGGCTATAACTCGGTTATTTAACCAAGTATAACTTAGACATATTTGCTGTGTCTGTTTGTCTGTAATTTAAATGTTTGAAGATAGGTATTAAAACAGATGGAATATGGATCCCTTACGATCCAATAGATCGTAAAGGAAAACAAAAATATCGATATATCGAAGAGAAATCGTCGATAATAATGAATGTTCCCCTTAACAGGAAAGTATCTAAACACTCATGTCACATGTCAGCAGTGACTTAATAGAAAATTTAATACGAGGTCTTTCATTCTCATTATGAACATTTAGATCCATCTTACAACCATTTTGTTTACAAAATATCTTGTCAATAGTTTTTATTGCATAAACCTATTGTGTTAAGTTATGTGTCACTATTCCGTAGATTAAGTAATTAGCCTACTATTTAAACCATCCTCGTCTTTGAAGTAGGGAAGACCTCTCTTTGGGGGAAAGGGTAGAATCCCCGGCAGACACAATAGAAATTAGATGTTAATTGCCTGTGCCGTACACTAAACAAAACAATCGCCATGAACATCACGTTAAAAGTCTCGGTAAGGACTTCTTGATTCTCTTAGAAGGAAATACGAAAGAAATTATATGCTCACGCCATGCTGAACCGAAACAATCCCCACGAATATCTCGGTAATAATTGAAACGTTCGATTGTAACATCTCACAGTTTAGAACTGCAAAGCTAAACTTATTCATGGGATTTTTATAAGCTTTGTAAGTAATTAGGCCTAGGACCAGCCTATTTGGCTGGATTAGGAATTTCTAAGCACTTTTACCTCTGGCCCTTTTGGGGATCAAACGCCCTAAATTATTGTTTTAAGGTTGCCTTATATAGGCATGTGATGATGGTTTAATGCAAATTTGGGGCTGAATTAAGTTAGGCCTAAGTGTTTAAAAGTAAGGCTGGATTAAGAAAGTAAGTTTAGGTTCTAATAAGTAACCAAATTTTTGGTTTATGTTACCTCCAGACTGATTTTGTACAAAGATAACACTGGGGAAATCAAGCAAAATACTATTTTTATTTTGTCTTTTGCTGTGTCTTACCCATAGTTGCAACTGTACAAAAACAGTCTTGAGTTAGGCCTAACAAAGTTATTGTTCTAGCAACATATATTGTAATATTTAAGAATATATGTTAGTATATTGATCAAAAAGGAAACTTCGGTTTACGCCTTTTCGAGGTAGGAAATAGTTTATTTTGAACTGGCAAAAGTTTGTTGGCACAGGCAAAATATTGTTTTGATTGAAGAGATAGCTCATCAACAGGCGGCATCAACATATTTTCATAGATTGGAAATTGACAATTTTATTTTTATAAAGCTCAGCTGTAATGAAATTAGCAACTTTTGTGTACAGAGTGATGGAAAATAAATGTTTCTAATTAGCGGTAAGTTTGTTTTGTTGTATGTTTTTGCGTTCTTGTTCTTGTTCCATGTTCTTGTATTACAACCACCATTTGAGCGAGTATAGGCCTGCTACTAATTGTCAGATCAAATTGACTTAACTGACAAGGTTTTTCCTGGTATTTCAACTGCCCTAGTGTACCTAATATATCATCAACTTTGCTTCATGTAGGCCTATTAGACTAAGTTAATTTGGTAAGAGGCAGATGATACCTTCCTGAGGAGGAACTGATTGGAAGACTACAGGCATTCATTGGATGGCTGAATCTGTCGAGTCTATCAATAAAACAACTTTCTGCGGTGTGCAATAATTCAACCTTTCAGATGAAGTGCTAATATTGGCCTGCCCCTGTTAGATTTATGATAATAAAGATGGACGTTTTAATGCACCTGATAACTTAGATGTTCTTTTTGTAGGATCAACCCCTAAGAAGAATAAATATTACAAGCCTACAGCTAATGGATGTGGTGTTCCGGGAATTCAGGTAAGAAAATTAAAAAGTCACACTAAGGGTTAAAAAAATTATAAGATGTTTAAATAACATTCACAAAATCATGGTTAACTAAGTTACCTAAATCCTAATGAATTTAACACTACTTAGGCCTACAGTACTTATTTTCATGGGTTTTCTGTTATGTTTATGTTTTATTTTACAGATAACTGATGCACATTTTATGGCTGTAGGTGAAATGACTCGGTGTTGCGATCAGCACGACATCTGTTACGGGACTTGCAACAAAGACAAAGATGAGTGTGACTTGTATTTCAAAAAATGTCTCTACAAAATATGTGATAACTCAAAAAAGAACATTCCTGAAACAGCTCTGACAGGTAGGTTTGCGTGATATTCCAAGGATTGGTATAGTTGATAGGTGAATGAATTAGCAGCTTACAAGCATCCTCATTATAAGACCCCTCCTTGTTTGAGGTTACTATTTTACCAAATATTATCAATCACTAAAATGTAGTTAGCATGTTTTTTTTTGCAAAAGCCTATTGTTAAATAAACTGCATTGGGTAAACAAATCTTTATAATATTGTCATAAATTGTTATTGTCCATGATTGACAAACTTCATAAATAGAAATAAATTCATAAAAAATAGTTAAATTATTTAAATCCACTAACGTTTTACCAGAAATTGAAAATTTCCACGGAAATAGTACTAACACTTTTACCAAAACCCCGGTCTTGCAGGCCCACGGCAATTTTTCACAAACGCATGTTGGCAACACTGTTTACTTGGGGGTTTCCAATCCCCAATACCTTCCCCCCTTTTCCTCCCCTACCTGTTGATATATTGTTTGTTCATTTTGCGTGGTGCCGTAATCTTGACAGGTTGTCTATTCATAACATGCCCGTCTCAGAAGCCCAGCGTTAGTATATTTTAAAGTGGGGTCTCACAGGCCAAGGGTTTCGGTTTAAGTGTGTTCAAGGCCGAACTTGCCTAAGGGCGGACGGGGCGAGCGCCCAGGGCCCCCGGGTCTAAGGGGACGGGGCCCCTTGTACTGTAGTTTGTATTAATAACTTCAAAAATTAATCAGACACTTACTGAATGGCCTTCTTTTTTAACAGCTTTATTGTTGTTATCCTATATTTAAGGTTATTGTTAGGTGAATTTTAAGGTTTTACTAGGAAAAAAATTCCTGACTCTAAGGGACTTTGCCTCAGGGTTGCACTGGGCCCCGCGCTCAGGCCTAGTTTACTTGTGCATAGCTGCTAGGATATGACGGACCAGTTTCAGTCTCAGTGAAGCCGTTCACACGAACGTACGGCCACGGCAATCGAGTTGAAGGGGGCCCCTTAGCTTGGGGCAAAAATACAATAAATAATATAAAAACTCTTGTCCTAACGTGGAATGTAACTTGTACAATTGTGTTGGGTTAAATGGAGATTCAATGGAGTTCTAATACTTTTTAAAAATAAAAACATTGCTTTGTTTATATTTTATTAAATGTTTTTTAACCTCTAAGTATATACCAATCATGATTTTAAGGGGCAGAAGTATTATATTAACCATTCAATTAAAAGTTTTTTTTAAATAGTAATTAAGTTATACGTCGAAATTTGGATCTCCAATTTACTAGTCGAATCAAAAACATACAGCGCCAGTACGATTAAAAAAAATCTATAAAGACATTTTATAACAAACTAGGGTCGTCTGATTAACAAAAATTTTATTTATTGGGAGCGGGCAAGCGTTGTCGACTGAAATCGTAAACAAGAAATAAGCAGAATCTGCTTATTTCTTGTTGACGGTTTCAGTCGACAACGCAGAAGCTTGGTTTTGGTTGACATTGTCGCACTTTTGTGTTGTATTTTATTAATAATTCTGCAAACACTACAAAGAACAAAGCTGAAGTGAGTAAAATTGTATTGAATGTTATGTTTGTGTTGTATTAATCGATGATATTGGATACATTTAAACATCTTTCAGTCACTCATATAAATGGTTAGCTTGTGATTGGTTATTAGACATGTATTGCAACATTTTACTCGCCAAGAAAAAACTCAAACTTGTTAAAGTTCTTAATGGTACTTTTCATGCTAGGACTTTAAAATATTATACAAACGAGAATTCCATGCCAAAACCATTATGAAAATACACATAAGTCATAGTTTATTGTTTTATAGTTTTAGTGCAGCCAAGAAATGTAGGAAAAGGGGGTTTTAATTGCCAGGCCAACGTATCAGAGTGGGAAGTGACATTTATAGGGAAAATAACTATGTTCTAAACCTTATAATGATTAATCTATAACAAGTAAACTTTAAAATTGTTTTGACTCGTATCTTATAAACGTTGTAAAAGGTTTGTTAGTAAAATTATAGTAGTAAGTTATAAAATAAATTTAAAGCTTTAAAAGTTAATGCATTATCTCTGACTTACAGTACGTGTTTTAAATATAACTTATTCCATTTATTAATGTTCGTTATTTTTTATTTGAGTTTTCATTCAAGCACCAAATAGTATGTGTATTACAGTAAAAAATAAATTTAAACTAAACCTTTTTGACAAGTATGTGTTATTTAATTTTTATTTTATTCATAGTTTTCATTATTTGTTGCAAAGGATATTACATTTTAATGTATTGCAAAAAAATTTGTAAGGTACCTGCTAGGTATATAAAATTTGTATAAATACAGTTAGAACAAGAACAAATCATAACACCGTGCATTGTAGCTATTTTCACAGACTTAAAATATTACATAAAATTAGTTTATGCAAATTACAGCTTATTATTCTAACAGGTTTACATATTAATTCACCTTTACATTGCCTAATTAAAATTAGTGTGCATGTAATATGCGTTATATTGTCTACCCTATATTCTCGTATAATCATACTGAAGGCCATTGGCAAATTTGCCCGGGGCCTCTGAAGTCCCAAGTCCGGCCCTGTGTGTGTTTCTAAGCGGGGTCCATTATTTTCAAATGGTATCTCACAGACTGGGGGTTTAGGTTAGCATCAGCCTGGGTAGGGTTTCGGTAGTACAGTAGAACCTCTTTAATCCGAACCCCTATAATCCGAACGTCCACTAATCCGAACTCCTCATTGCTGTACTCCATACACAGTACAGCAGTTCTTTATTGTATACTGTATTTAATGTACAGTACTGTTTATTCACCATGTTTACTACTGTATTAAATAAACATTGTATTTTAATTTATAACACATTTTTTTCATTTTCCCAAAATGATTAAGATTAATTTTAGCCATGTTTTAGCTATTGTTATGTAAAAACAACAATATATTCTGTAATCCGAACTATTCACTAGTCTGAACTACCCCTGGTCCCAATTAGTTCGGATTAAAGAGGTTCTGCTGTAGTGTTAATTTTATTTTTTTTAGAGGTTGGCAGCTTCTTTTAACCTTGCATTTGCCTGTCCACATAGACTAAGCGCCCGTGCTAAGCGCCCGTGTGTGGATCGTTTACAGCAAAGCAAGGAGTGAGCCGGTACAGTACAAAGGTGAACTGTACTGATAAATTTTAGTGGCAGTGACCAGGATCCGAACCCACGACATTGCTGCCTTGGGCCCAAAGTCCGCGACGCTACCGACTGAGCCACCGACTCACTAATTTCCATGGATCTATTTCTTTTAATTTGGAAATAGAGCCAGTGCTTTAAATACATATTCAAATAGGTAATGCTACATTTTATTTGTTGAATACTATTTGATGCTTGCAAGACAAAGGGGCTTAAGTGCATATAATAAGTTTACGTACTTACGCCCCGTCATCTTGCAAGTGACAAGTTGTAAACAAATTTGCAGGCATACAAACTTAAAAAAATTATCGATCCAACTTGTTTGATGAAAGTATAAATGTATAAAAACCTACACTTTAACACTACTCATAATGTTTACAGGATGTAAGACTGCTGCTAAAGTCTTGTTTTCTGGAACAATGATGTTTGGTTGCAAGTTCTACAAGTCATCGCAGCAAGAAGCTTGCTTTTGCCAGGCGTCTCGCAGGATACCAGCAGCCGATGAGTTTTAAAAACCTCAGTTAGGACTAAGTAAATTATTTAGGTTTTGGTTCAGTAAACTAAAAAAAATCACTAAACAAAACATGACATAAATTTGCATAACATAAAGTGCCACTAAAATTAACTGTAACATAACAATTATGATATTAATTTTAGGGTAGCGAGCTGGTCTAGTGGTTAGAGCGCGGGACTTCGGTCCATGAGGTCCCGCGTTGTAATCGCACCAAATCACCAATGGATTTTATCTGATAATGCTGCAACCCCTAGGTCTAACCTAAAGTAATGTGAAAAACAATCCTGGGCTCGTGCCTAGCGTCTTAGAAAAAACATATGGTATTAAATTAATCATCGAAAATAACTTTTTAACCTTTTTTATTTCCAGAAGAATCGTGCAGCCTCTTGATTTCTATTTATACTTTAAAAATGGTTTAACAATAGGTATACCGATCTTGATAATTCAACAGAAACAGGACCTATAGGTTGTCGGTTTTACAAAAATTGCAGATTGCCTTTAATGATTAATGCCCATTATTACTATTTTATGGAAATAAATTATACAATGACATTATTTCGTGATATTTACAATATCCTAAAGGATAGTATAGTTTTAGTAGGTTGTTCAACCTATAGTTGTTATGTACATTACTGCATGTAGACTTGATTACAAATATAAACTCGATATAAAAAGCATGTAGTCAAGAAGAGTTTTTTTTTATTTTTACTGTACAGTAAAAGCTTTTTCAACTGGCAAATGTAGAATTATCAAGATCATACTGTACATCCATATTTTAACGCAACACTTATGCAAGTATTGAACAATTTTAAAGTAATTGCTGTAAATAATGTCTCAAAAATTATTTATCTTTGTTACAAAGTAGAAAAAAACCAAAATACCTAATGTTAAGTTTGATAATTTTTAGGATTGTTCTCTATTGTACCAAAGTTTACGTCTAGTCCCTCTTTCTTGTAATCCTTAAAACCAAACACCTTGCTTTTATTTAATGAAAGTCTTGTATGGTGTTGATTGTTTTTTTTTTTTTTTTTTTTTTTTTACTTTAGACATTTGCTATGGATGCCTTCATCTAAATCACCTATGAAATAAGTATAATTTATCAATTTAAGATGCATAAAAACATTTTTACGATCCATTTATTTTTCTGAACATTTGTTTCCTTTGCCATTTACCAATGGCAAAATAAGGTTTTGGGTATTTGCACCTTACATTTAGCATTGTTCAATGTATTTAGGTCTTCCCAGTCTAACATTTTGCATATTTTGTATGTGATCTTGGTCTTCCAGAGGTACCGGTACTGTAAACCTCTGATGAACCAAAATAAAGGGAGTGAGTCCATTTTGTGTAATCTAATTTTTAATTTAATCAGTGGTTGGAATTTAAAAGCTATTTCAGTTCAAATAGATCTTCGACTGTTGTTTTTTACATTATGTTAATTAGGCTACTGTCTCCTTAAAATTGCTGTATACAAAATTATATTTCTTAAAATAATCGACCACTGTTTTCAGAACTTTATTTTTTATCACTGTATGAGATCCGCAGTAGTCTGCTCCATTAAATTAATAATAACCCACGCTACAGCATACAGTTGATTTTCCAATTGATTAGAAGTTTTCTATGGTTTCTGCCCAATGGGGTGCGGTTGAAAGGGGTTTTCTTTAGTTGTATTTCAAAATAAGACAGTAGATAAAAAACGGTATGTTGAAATATTTTAATTTATCATTAAATATTTTACCCAGTAAAAACAAAGAGTATCCCCTGTTAAGAAAGAACATATTTTTGACTTTATACAGGGATGATCGTAAAATTGGTTAGTGAAAACCAATGTCATACTAAGTCACAAGATTACCATGTACTATGTACTATATAGTATATACTATGTACTAATACTAAGGTCTCATTAAAATGTTTGATGGTTAAAGGTCATAGGATTGTTTTAATTTTTTTGCTCTTTTTGGGGATTTTTTATGGGAGTAAAAGTAAACAAAACTTATTATAATGATTTTTGTCACATAGTCTTTGAATAATGTTTGTCTCCAACTCACTGATTTGTTAGGCTAATAAAAGATAATTTTTGTTGATGTTGGCTGGTCTTTGTGGGAATTTTTCATGTGTGAAATTGTGTTTATGTTGATTGTTTATTTATTTGGGTGTGCTGGAATTTTGTTGATAAGGCTGTAGAGAAAATATCATGGCTTATTTAGAAGCCGTTAGCCTATTTGTTACAATCACTAGACAAATGATTGTCAACAATAATTGAGTTGAAAATTAGTACAAAACATATAAGAAGCACAATGCTTTTGTTAAAAATTCAGTATGGGAATATTTGAATTTCGGATAGTTACTGCGGCGGCCGCTAGGTAGACTATCGCCAGTGTGCGGCCAAGTCAGCTGAGTCATTGAGAGAGAGTGAGACAAAGAATCGGCTTAGAGAGTGATAGAGTAGCATGTGATCCTGGCGGCGGCCGTGCAAAGCTCATTTCAGAAGCAAAATATTTTGCTTCTTAAAATTGTTGTATTCATTGGTTAAACCATAGACAAATAGAATAAATATAGACTGTCAAAGGAAGGTTCCGGCGCCCACCGCTAGGTTTGCCGTGTAGTTACGGCGCACACCGCTACAGGCGGGGAGCGTAGGAGCCGTATGCAATCAGCAGACGCTGCAGCGGTGTGCGCCGTAACTACACGGCAAACCTAGTGGTGGACGCCAAAACTTCTGCTAACCGCAGCACAGCTGACGGTGTATACTTATTCTATTTGTCCATGGTTAAATTATCTAAAACATGTTAGATTTTAGTATTATGTGGCTTGTAATTATATGTTTGTTTTAAGTTACTTTTTCAGTGATGTTAAGCTTATTCATTGCATCAACCTGTTATTTTCCATTCTCATGGAATTTGTACGTTAACGCTTAAAAACTGTTACAAAAAAAATTATTTTACTTTTTATTTTAAGGAATTACACCAACGGTCTTTAACTAATTGTTCAGTTGCTTGGATTGTTACTTTGGTTCAGAGAACTTTGATTTATTTTAATCCAGTTCCAATAATGTTAAATTTAGTTATAACTTTAACTAAGTTTGTTGTTAATGCACCATTTTGTTCATAGACTCAGTTCAGTGTACAGGTGTAATTTTGTCCATATTGTAGAATTTTGAATTTTTATTTGCAACTAATTTTTATAAATATTTTTTTTTATAAAAAAGAAACCAAAAGTTCAAATTTGTTTGAAAATACACCCAAGTGCCTGAAAACTAGATAAGGGAAAACTATTTGGAGCTGTAAATGTATAGAATTTGTAAAAAAACTTAGCTAAAAATATTTAAATGCAAGGTCATGTGGAGGGCTGATAGTGAGAAGGTTGCACTGTTCCTTACTATTTTTACAGTAAAAAAAAAATAATTTAGAAACTGTATCTAGTTAGGTATTACAAAAAAATGTTATACATTCAATTTAGTTACATTTGTGTGTCATCAAGAACTATTTGTACGTGTAAGTAAATTGGGTAATTGGTTGATTTAAAACATTAACATATTTAAAATTCACAAGTGACAAAAGTGGATTTTTTCAGAAAACACAAAAAAACGTTCTGTGCCAATGGCGACACAGCCAGTTTCCGAGCATTCAATTGCTTGTAAGTGTTGCCAATGCCAACCTATGCATTTTTAAAAACAAAATATTCCACACAGTAGAGAATTTTATTTGCATTGTTGTTCTTTAAAAATCTCAATTTCATAAAATATGTTTGCAACATTGTTTGGTATTCAATAATGTAGTTAGTGATATCCATTACCATAGTTAGTGGCACCAGTGATATCATTACAAAAACTAAGGAGAAGAGGTGCAACTTTTACTATCTCTTCTCAACTCACCTTCTGTGATTTATCAACTTAAATTTGAAATAAGTTAGATAAAACTTGTATCTTTGAAAACATCGATTAGAATAATTTATGTAAAAAGTCTGTGATAATAACTTATAATAAATATGTGATTAGTAATTTTGTGATTTTTTAATTTATTTGAATCTTCTTACAAATCATATGTAATAATATTGACTTTTTGTCTTTTATACTTTACTAGCTGTTTTACCCGTGCTTTGCAACGGGAAGAGGACATTAAATAGAAACATTTTGATATGTACATCTGTTGTATAAAATAGTTACACATCCGCCAACGTTTTTAGAAACAAAATTTAACCTCTATGACATTTATAGAAACATTTATGGCTTTTTAATCTGGATACCACTATTTAGTTGAAACCACTGTTTTTGTTTTGATTAATTTTAAATCTTGTGTTGGCTGATATGTGTCTTATGTTGGCTACAACTTTTCAAATAACATTTTCATATACATGATTTACCTTCAACTCCCTTATTTAGGTATTTTTTTCTTTATTTTTGTCATTTTAAATTTCAATCTTGAAGTTGCAAAACTACTAGTTATTAAATTTAAATGAACAATTTGTTTAGGTCAATCTTCTAAATTAAAAGACAAATACTTCCATGTTCCATCTTCACTCACAATACATCATTAGCAACACTAATATCAGCTGTTATAAACTTGATAAATATTATTGTACCTTATCAATTGCCTTTTGAAATATTAAAGAAACTATAAATACTATAAAAAGCTGTAAATTATTAATTTAGCATTAAAGACAGCAGAAAAAAAAACTAATATGATTATCAAAACATCAAGGACTAAAAAAATTAAAAGTAAATACAGTATACAGGGTTAGGCAAAAGTCTGGAACCCCCTAGTTAACTTTTTAACGCGTTGCAGTAGGAACACCAAACTCGGCACATATTTACAACATAAGATATTGCACTTTTTCATCAAAGTTACAACTTTGCCCCAGCCCCCAAAATGGGGCGTTAACTGGGGTTGTCCAGAATTTATCTTCCTTGCTCTTCTTAAATTCAAATGGCTGCCATTTAGATTAGGGGTGCGATATTGACCTCTGGTTTGTGCCATAGAATTTATCTTGATAAATCCTTTAAAATGAGGGGTCACATAATAGTTGTTTAGATTTGAAAATTTGGGGCTGGGGCAAAGTTGTAACTTTAATGAAAAAGTGCAATTTCTTATGTTGTAAATATGTGCCTAGTTTGGTTTTCCTACTGCAACGCGTTAAAAAGTTAACTGGGTGGGGGGTTCCAGACTTTTGCCTAACCCTGTATATGTAATTGCATATCTGATTCTACTCTATTCTTTTTCTTTCTATTTCTATTCTTCTTAGACCTGAAAGATTTAATGTCAATCCTAATGAAGTCAATGCAAGTCAAGATTGGAAACATTGGTACCATACTTTTGAAAACTTCATCGAAGCTAGTAAAATCAGTGAAGAATTGAGACTTAAAGTATTAATCAATTTCATTTCACCATCCGTTTATGAATATGTAAATGACTGTGAAACATACAAACAAGCAATTGATGTGTTGAAAAAGTTGTACTTGATGAAACCAGTCAATGAAATTTATGCACGTCATAAACTAAGAATCAGGAGACAAGAGTCTGGTGAGTGCATTGATACATACGTAGAATCTCTGAAGCGACTTTCTAAAGATTGTAACTTTAAAGCTGTCAATGCTGTATCAAGTAGAGATGAATATATCAGAGACACATTCATTGATGGCTTGCTAGTACCTCACATTCGTCAACGGTTGTTGGAAAGCTCTACTTTGCCTTTAGATGAAGCAGTTTCTCAAGCCAGATCACTCGAACTTGCTAAATATCACTCTGAACAGTACAACTTAGACAAGTGCTTACCAACAATCAACGCTGCAGCCTCAAAACCCGGTGGGGCACACGGAAGATTTCTCAGGTGTCGTTTGACGTCACTAACTGCTGCGTCTGAAGAAACAGACAATTTTATAATTTTTCTATTATTAAATTAAACTGTCATAACCTAACTGTTTAAAGTTATTTTTTCTAATTCACTGTTTCTAACAGCTGGTCTTATTTTATATCATGTTTACTTTTTGTTCAGTTTAAAGAAATACAGTCCACTAAAAACATCATCTAGTTTTTCTCTCTTAATTATCTATCTACATCTATCGTTCAATCTAAGTTTATCCATCAGTATCTAAATTCTTTAATCATTTGGTCCTTCTGACCCGGAATAAATAAGTAATTAACAGTTATTTTTTCAATTCAGTTATAAAAGTAATCAAGAAAATTTCCTGTTCTCAGTTGAAGTTATGTCCCTAGAATCCAAACTAGGTCTTCAAGCAACACGCTTAAAAATCTTAGAAAAAGCCACAGACTATTTCAAGGAAAAGGATATAACAACTATATTGAAGCCTCAAGTACAAACCCGGATTGATGTTATCGAAGCAGAATGGAGGAAATTCGAGAGGGATCACGAGAAAATATGTGAGTCAAAAGCTGACATACTAAAAGACCTAGCCTACATAAATGAAGATCACTACAGTCAAGCCCTTGAAGCATATATGGTAAGCAAATCTGCATTGCTTGTTCTCTTAGAAGAGTTATCGGTAAATTCTCAACAAAATCAAAGCACATCTGATATCAATACATCTAGTTCTATGAGTAAATCAAATCAACCTATACTACCTAAAATATCTCTACCTCAATTCTCAGGAAGTTACCAGTCTTGGAAACCATTCCATGATCTTTTTTCTTCACTGGTGATCCAAAATCCTAACTTAACTGATGTAGCTAAGTTACACTATCTCAAAACCAGTTTGTCAGGTGATGCTGCTCAATTGCTAACAAATTTCCAAATAACAGGAGAAAATTTCATGCCAGCTTGGGAAAAACTTGTGACTAGATATGAAAACAAACGTGTTTTAATCAAAAGGCATTTGGATGATATATTTAATTTAAAACCTCTAGAAAATAAATCTGCTAGTGGTCTCAATCACCTCATGTCTACTATCAATGAGTCTTTAGGTTCCCTCAAAGCGCTAGGATCTCCTACAGATAAATGGGATCACATCTTGGTGTACATGATTGTACAACGACTAGACCCAGAGACACACGAAGCATGGGAGATTCGTTACGGAGTCTCAACAGAACCCTCCACCCTAGAAGATCTTCAGACCTTCATCGAAGGTCGTATTAGAGCCCTGGAAAGTATTGAGTCACGAGCAACACCACCAAGCGATGTAACGGTAACTACACTACAATGTAAAGGTAAACCTCATCAAAATCTTAAAGTACATTCAGCACAAATTGTAGCAAAATCTCAGTCCAATATAGGAAATGATTGTCAACTGTGTAGTAAAGATCACTATTTAGCATTTTGCAAGGAGTTTCGTGAAAAAGTACCTAGTCAACGAAAAGAGGTTCTTGTGAACAAAAGATTATGTTTCAACTGTCTTGGTTCACATTTGTTAAAGGACTGTCGCTCAAATAAATCTTGTTTACAATGTAAAAAAAGACATCACACTCTAATTCATGACGCTGTTAGCCAGACTACAAATATACCTCATATAAAAAAGTCAAGTTCTCTCATCCCTAACAAATTCATCTCATCTACAGATAACACATCATCAAGCTCACACGTCTCCTCTAATCACATGCTTCCATTTAAGGAAATTAATCGACAATCTGTGCTCCTAGCAACCGCTCAAGTTAAGGTAATTGGTCCTGAGGGAAATAGTGTTATTGCCAGAGCTTTAATCGACCAAGGATCTGAAATCTCTTTCATCAGTGAATACTTAGTACAAACTCTCAATCTGAAGCGTTCATACTCCTCAGTATCTCTTGTTGGTATCGGTGGACATCAAGCCCCAACCACTCGTGGTATAGTTTCAATCAATCTTAGTTCTCTGTATGATACCAAAGTTAGCTGCTCTTTATCTTGTCACATCCTTTCAAATCTCACATCAAATTTGCCATCGATAACACCAAATCATTCATCGTGGAATCATATAAAGGGACTTCAACTAGCTGATCCTGCCTTCATGAAGTCTGAATCTGTAGATTTAGTCCTAGGAGCAGACATCTACACGTCTATTATCCTTCCTGGTCTAATTAAAGGTCCACCCCTCTCCCCAGTAGCACAAGCAACAATTTTCGGTTGGATCTTGTCTGGACCTACTGGAATGACGGAAAATAAATCTACCTCATCAATGTTTCATTGCTTGATTGAAAACAAACTTGATGATTTTCTTCAAAAATTTTGGGTACAGGAAGAAATTCCTCAAATTAAAGAATCAGTCAAGTCTCCTGATGATCAAGTATGTGAGGAACATTATCAATCAACCTTTTCTAGAGAACCTTCCGGTCGCTATCAAGTCCGACTTCCCCTGAAGGAAACAGTCAATCAGCTTGGAGAATCTCAATCGTCAGCCTTTCAAATTTTAACAAAGCTAAATACTCGTCTCTCAAACGATCTTGAGTACAAAAACTTGTATACTAATTTCATAGAAGAATACAAGGACCTTGGTCACATGTCTGAAACTATTGAAGAAATAGATTCTACCATTCCCATATATTACCTACCTCATCATGGTGTTTTGCGTCCTTCTAGCACGACGACTAAATTAAGAGTAGTTTTCAATGCCTCATTCCCAACTAGTTCAGGATTATCTTTGAATGACGTACTCTACAGTGGTCCAAAACTCCAAACAGAACTACCTGATATTCTCACTTGGTTTAGGCGCTATAAATTCGTATTTGCCACTGATATCGAGAAAATGTATCGCCAGATTCTAGTACATCCTAGTGATCGAGATCTTCAAAGAATTCTCTGGATGGAAAATGGTCATCTTAGAAAATTTCAACTACAGACTGTTACATATGGGTTATCATGCGCTCCTTTTCTCGCCCTAAGAACAATGAATCAGCTTATCGTCGATCACGGTGATGCATATCCTCAAGCTAGTGAAATGTTGACAAGAGGGAGATATATGGATGACATTTCTGGTGGTGCAGACTCGATTGAAGAGTGCAGAGAAGTAGTAAAACAGACTGACGAGCTTTGCAAATTAGGTTGTTTTCCTTTACAGAAGTGGATCAGCAATGATCA